GGTTGGTTGCAATTGTAAACACTTGCTCCTACAATCGAACAAAATATTTCATTGGGTGTTACTTTCCTTTTTGAGGCTTTTCTCTGATGGTTAGCAGTTGGAGGTATCCAGATCATTCCCTGAAGAACACGTAGAGCTGTAGCAAGAGAATTTTTCCATCTATGCTTGTGTATTAAATACTGTTTATTAAACCAGGACTGCAAGAGCGTTCTCCCTTGTTTGATATAGAGCAGTAGACACTGCATATTCTCTGACTGATAGCGTACAGACTGCAATAAAGCATTAGTAGAGGTAAAAGCATTTAGCATTACTAGTTAGGATCATATATTCAGAAAGTGGGTGTAAGAAAACATGCTGTGGTGTTTAATTGGGATGTACTCACTGCAGTGGAAATGAGTTCGGATTACTTGTGCCAACTGGTTCTTGTTTGTTAAAGAAAACATGAAAGAGAAAACAGGAGGAGAAATTTATGTGATTGATGATGCTTATTACTGCTTGCAGGTCATGCCTACAAAAAGTTGAGGGGATGTAGATACGGAATTCAAAGTTGAGAAATGTTGTTTTACACGTTTCAATGCATGTGAACGTTTTTCTAGTAGTCAAATTTTAGCATAAGAATGAAGTTATGTCTAAACTTTGTCATGCTTTTAATGCAGAGAGTCCATTTATGCTCACCATATTGAACCTGTATCTAACAATTGAAAATGTGTATTGTTCAGTGAACACTAAAAATGAAATATAAAATTAAAAATAATTTTGAATGCATCTTAGGCTATTTGAAATGTGTAGGTGGTACTCTGTTTTTTTCTCTTTTTTCTAAACTGTCAGTTAAGGACCTTTCTCTTTTAATCTTATGATCTGCAAGAATATATCATGATACATACTGTATGATAAGTCCTTGTGCGACACAGTGTATTTTGCTGCTATCCACATGAGTGCCTTTCCTGTTTTCTTTAAAGTGACATCACGTAATAAAACAATGTTGATTATAAGAGCATAAAATACAAGACAGAGAGGTTTAGAAAAACAGATAAAGCTAGCTCACGAAGAGTCAAATATCCATGTGTGCACAACAAAGATATAGCAAGGATATTGCATGTTATTCATATACAAAGACTGCTATGCTGTAAGAAAATGCTGTGAAACTAGGGAACATAAGAATTTGTGTATCAGAAAAACTCAAGGCCCCTGTATTCCAAACTAGCAGATTCTGACTAAACCAAAGGATGGAGAATTTATACACAACATTTCAGAATTCAGTTTGAATGAAAAAGGAGAAAGGAATTGCTCTAAAAAAGGCAGCTCTCCCCCAAAGAGGATCATTAACAATAATATCCAGAACTCTAATAGCTGTAAAGAACAGAAATTTTCAGGCAGACCTCCTGTATTCACACTTCTGTAAAGTTTAAGTTTCTTTTTTACTTTGTGAGACCAGTTATTCCACCACTTCAGGTTGCTAGCAATTTAATTTTAGCATCATCTTTAAAAAAAAAAGGCAAAACATTTTATCACAGTATGAAAAGCAGTAAAAGATCAGATTATAACCTTGTTAAATCTAAGCATGGTCCTCACAATAGTGTGGAGAAAAGAGGTCAGTTTGTGGGTTTTTTCAAGCTTTGAACAACAGGTACGGAAGAGGAGTCTTCTGTTTCAAGTCAGTACATAAAAAAAGAAATCAGCCTTTGGCTGTGTAAAGATTATTTGCAGTTTAAAAAGTGAAAAGAAATCATATAAAATCATACTGTCAATTTACAAAAACTTTTTTCCATCTCACTGCCACAAAATGCATTGTATTAATTATTGCTTAATTAGCATCAATGTAAAGTAATTTGTTTGTTATTATTTCTCAAAAAATAGTACTTGTGGAATAGCCAAAATAAATACAGAGTTTTAACTTGAAATCGTGTAAGTGTTTCCCGTTGTGTGCAGGGGAATTTCTACACTTACATATTGAATAATAATAATAAAGTTTAGTACAATTGTTTTGCATTGTTCATATGTGATTGTATTGCATACAGAGTGATAAATGCTAAGACAGTGCCACAGGAGAAAATGATTCTGTGTTTTGGAAATGAAAAGTACATTTATGTACTTTTTTATTGAAAATATTTTCTTGAGAATATCTTGGAGTTGGGTGGGTGGATTCAATTTCTGAGGTCATTCTGGGGTGGACAATATTACTAAGATTTCCAAAATTGTCATGATGGGGAGGGGTGAAAGCACTAATAGTTTGTTATTTTTACACAGTTTTTATTTTTTTGTTTGGGTTTTGGGGTTCTGTTTGGGATTTTTTTGTTACACCTTTTGGAGTCCAGGTGGCTTTCCAGAGAAGATTTTCCATTTTCTGCCCTGCACATGAGAGAGGAATTACTTTAAACTGAATATGAGTTTGTTGTCTAACACTAATGTAGGAGCTGGAGAATTAAAGTACATTGCAGTAGCTAACAGCGGTGGGTTTTTACCTTCTAGACTGACTCTTGGAGGTTTTTTTTTCCCCCCACTAAATTTTGAGTGCACGTGTGTCATGATTTGAATCAGTTGTAGCAGGTTTGAACAGTGACAGCTGACTATTCTTATTATCAGATGAGAACCAAATTTGTGGAAACTGAAATAGAAAAATACAGCTTGTAATGTTTTATCTGATTTTTGTGGAGAATATAAAGGAGAAGAAAAAAATTGAGGATTATCATGTGAAAATTGTCCCCTCCTCCCAAAATTGTTTTCCTGTTGTGACTATAGATAGATAATAGGAAAATAGCACACTACTTTTCCAAGGCATGATTCAACTTGAAACTGGGAGAGGACTGAAAATCTCCTGTAGTGACATTGAAGTTGCATGAAGAAACAGTAAAAAAAAAATTTTTTTTTCAAATTCAAGCATTGAGAAGTTATAAAATGGTGGCCTTAGGGCCTCCTGGGGGCTGTACTGGACAAGAGCCCTCATCGCAGCCTGTGATGAACACTGTTCAACATCGGGCTTTCAGATAATCTGCTTGGATGATGTGCTTGAGGTGCTAGCAGCCTAAAAGAGACGGTGCAGTCCAACCGCTCTCACTGTAGGAGGTCGCGTGCCTGCTTCCAAGATGTCTTGGTGCTTGGACAGCATTTTCTTCTGGATGAAGAATTGTTAAATCTGAACAGGGGCAAACCAGATGTGATAGTCAAAGGAAAACATTTCTGAAGAATTTTCAAACAGTGTGCAGTCCATTTTTCAATTAACAGTGTATATTTGCATTTTGTTGGTTAGTGTGTGCAGGTTCTTTTGGGATGTAGACCAATTGTAAACTCTCATCTGCTGTATCTATAAATAATGCATACTAATACAGAATACTGTAGTGCATCCCCTAGCAGCTCAAGTTGCTTTTACAGCATGAAATTCTGCTATTGCTTGCTTTCTAGAGGATGCTGAGTTACGTTTGAAGCTCTGACCTTTAACTTCACAGCGCTCTGTGGTGGGGCCAGGCTATCCAGAAGATCTGAGGATGGATGCTGACAGATCTGTTTCCTTTGCTTAGTGGATGTTTGCATAGAGGATGTTGCTTGCTGTGCAGAAGATACATTGTTTCTTTCGGGAGAGGAATTAGGTAGCATGATATGGTCATAGATTTGGGTTCTTTGGCCCAGTGTCTAAAATACATTTCATTTAAATGATCAACATTACAATTTATAATTAAGCTTCAGTGTTGATATTTCATTTTTTTTAATGTGGAAGAAATTGGGAACTCTTGGTTTATTCCTTCGTTGTGACTAGTGGACTTTTATGCTGCAACAGTATTTGTGTGATAGTCATATTAATTACAACTCCCTGTAATTTTACTTATTTCTCTTTTTTTTTTAATTAGAGAGAACATACAGTTAGGATACATCAGCGCAATTTTTTCCCTCTTTTTGTAGTTCTTTAAAACCCTAGTATTAACTTCGATCACGGCCCAAACAAGCTAGCTGTCTGTATCAACGACCAGTGTACGTGTGTTAAATCCTGCCTGGTTTTGTGGGGTTTGAGGTCTTCCTTTGATTTATGCTAAATAATGGGATTAAATGGTTTAAGAAAATGCTGTTGTTCTGCCTGATAAGCCAGGGTCTCACCATTTCATTAATTACTGGCTTTGAATTATGACGCATGGAATGGTTTTCTGCAGTATTCTTGCTTGCTTTGACAGGTTTTACTCTATAATAACATTACAAAGTTCATTGTAGATTACAATTCGTGAAACATTGTAATAAAATTATATCAGTTATATTAAATAATGTTCTACTTAATGTGGATATACAGCTTACTGCGTTTTAAGTTCTTTGTTGATGTGAAGGAGACCATCAGCTTCTACACTCAAGTGCTCCATACTTAATTTGAGATTGAATTTAGATGTCTAAAATAGATAACGATCCCCTAAATTTCCCTTCATTGTCTGTGTACCTTTTATGGAGATTTCTGTGATAATATCATATCAATACTTTTTCCTTAGGCTTTCAAAATTAAGATTTTTCAGTTAATCTGCTTTTTATGGTGTTCATATGTAGGTAGTAATATATTTAAGAGAAAGAGTCCCTCTGAGAGTATGAATTTTTTTATAGCATAGATCACTTCTGCTGTATCACTGTCTTCATTTACAATTAGGTGGATTGACTTTTCCCTCTTACCAGTCACTCAGTATTACTGGGAAATTATTGAAGTGTTTGTTGTATTTGTAATTGTTTTAAAGACTATTAGGCAGTTGAGGCTGTTTAATTCTAAGTAGTTTGTTCTAGTTTGCTGTGAGGTGCTCCATGCAATACTGTTTGGAAATACCCTAGGCAATTGCTTCTCTTGAAAAGAAAGGTAGTACTTAGCAATCTTACGTATCTGGACTCTCTCTTAAAAAATAAATCCACTGAGTGTTTTTCAGTTACTTTGGTAGGAAATGTTTTGGTCCTCTGTATGCATTGGTCATACTGGTTTCAGACATTAACTTCTGTAATTTAATTGCTTAATTTTTTTTTTTTTTTAATTAATCTATTTGCAGATGTGATGCAGATCCATCTGCCCTAGCTAAGTATGTTCTGGCTTTGGTAAAGAAGGATAAAAGTGAAAAGGAGCTGAAGGCATTGTGTGTTGATCAGCTGGATGTATTTCTTCAGAAGGGTATGGTCTTTGTCATAACTATTAAGCTTGAGTGAAAAGTCTGTCTTGTTTAATTCATTCGACTAATCTTCTACCATAAAATCATGCATTTGCATCTTTATTAGCTTTGTTAATTTCAAGTATATAATTAAATTTTCATGAAGTAATTTGTTTTAAAAAAGAGGTGTATAGCACAATATGTATATATTAGGTATATGTTTTGTGTCTATTGATATTCCTAGAAGAAAATTATGGATGTTAAGAGTTATTGCCAGAATTAGAAGTATTGAGCTTTGTATATATTCCAGAAATATTCTTCCAGATGCTTTATTAAGAGACATTAAATAATTCAGGGATTGAAAACCTTTGTGAAACATTGTCATTATTGACATGTTTCTGTAAATGTCCTTTTACAATATATAATTAACAGCAGAGTATGAAATACTCTTTGTTGTTTTAACTTCCTGGTGAATGCTGATTTTTGGGATATTTAAAAATTTATTTATTTTGAAATCATATGTTAACTGAAGTTTTGAATAATGGGTATTTGTACACTCTTTACTTTTAGAAACTCAGATATTTGTGGAAAAACTGTTTGATGCTGTGAATACAAAAAGCTATCTACCTCCACCAGAACAGCCATCATCAGGAAGCCTGAAAGTAGAATTTTTTCAGCACCAAGAAAAAGAGACAAAAAAAGAAGAGGTAGGCATTGATTTTATTTTCAATGTATGTCTTTTTTCCTCATTCCTATAGTTTGCTTATGTGGTTCAACTTCATGTTCATTAATAATAGTCCCAAATCTTACACTACATTGTTAAAATATGTCAGAAGATTTGTGCCTAGTATGTTGAGTACTGCTGCACAGTTTTTCTAAACATAAGTGGTTGCTTCAAAGGTAAACCAAAGTGGTTCTGACCAGACCAATGTAAATAAAGTTCTTGAGTTGTGTAGGAGTTGCAGTACAACCTACATGAGTTCTTTGCTCAGGATTGCTGTTGTCAATATATTGCCCTTTAATTTGGCATAAATCCAGGCTGCCGTTCCAAATGGCAGTCCTTATTCCTCCAGATGCTTGATCCACGTTAACATCCTTATTCCAACACAAGTGTTTATGTTGTTCTTTGAGCCAGAAGAGTAGGTTTGTCCTTTTCAACAGCAGCCTAGGTTTGGCTGTCTGAAAGTGTTTAACCATGATCTGGACCAGCTAACCTGCTGATGAAGACAAGACCTTGCTGTGTCAATCATTGAATATTCATGTCTTCCAAGATCTGTCACTGCACCTTAGTACGGATTTTTGTCTGCCTGTAGCAAAAGCAGATGTATTTTCAGTGCAGCACAACAAGGATTGCTTACTCTATTTTATTTTCTCCCAAGCCATGCTTTGAATATTCCTAGAAATAGAAATCTAATATGTTGCAAAGATTCTCTAATTGCATTAGATGCAAAAATGTTGTTTCAGTTCAATGTTACTGCTGACTTTGCTCAGCATTTTGAGTTTTTTGGTTTTATTTGATTGTGCAGAAGTCTCCATTATAGTGTACTTATGTTTTGACCTAATGTATATACTTGAAATTCAGATAGTTAAAGAAGAAGAGCGAGAGAAAAAGTTTTCTAGAAGATTAAATCATAGCCCTCCTCAGTCAAGTTCTCGCTACAGAGATACCAGGTAATAAATTTTGCTTAACCTCTTGTAATAGATCAGTAATCAGATGGATTTGGATTTTTATAGTGTTGCTAAATTAAATATTTTCTTTTTGTATGGTCACCTAATAAGCCTAAAAATAAGACTTTTATTGCTTTTATGCATATGTAGTTAAATGGCGAATATGTAGGTGACAGTGTAAACGGTCTCTTGAGTTGTGCACAACTATCACATTTTAGTTTTATGATTCATTTTCATGTTAGATTTGTGGTTTATATTACAACACTCTCACTCTGCTTGGTATTGAGATTGAATTGTAGTAATTTTGATTTAGAAGTCTTTCCTTCAGTAACTGTTACCTGTTTGGTGTTTCCAGTTTGGAGAAGGTGCAGTATTGGGCAGAAACAGAATTTTACATACTCTTAAAAAAATCTTATGTATGATAAAAGTAAAGTGCATAAACCTAATAAAAGAATTTTGAAGTCTTCTGAGAAGAAAAGAAGGGCCATAGTTAGATTCCATTTGTAGCTTTTCTCTAATTTTCCATTGCCGTTTCTTGAGGTAGTTAAGGTTTTAAATTATGGCTTCATAGTGCTTGTGATTAACTTACAAAATTACATGTTTAGAAGCCGTGATGAAAGGAAAAAAGATGAACGTTCTCGTAAGAGAGATTATGACCGAAATCCTCCCAGAAGAGATTCCTATAGGGATCGCTACAACAGAAGAAGAGGGAGGAGTCGGAGCTACAGCAGGAGTCGAAGTAGAAGCTGGAGCAAAGAGAGATTGCGGGACCGGGATCGAGACCGGAGCAGAAGCCGGAGCAGAACGCGAAGCAGAGGTACCAACAGTTGGTCTCTAAAATACGGTGAATGTTGCCTACAAAATTTAGACACTAAACTTAAACACTATGTTCAAGATTTACCATAATTTTCTCTGTTGTTCTTGCTTCTTTATCCAAATTTAGCTTGGTTTTCTGTGGAAATAAGGCTTATGTGATTATGTTTTCAGTGCTTATTTTCTTCTCTTTC